GTCACTACGTTTAAATAGGTTGACTTGGGACATTTTTTTCGTGGTTTGTGTATTAGACCCGTCGTCCATTTATTTGTAAGTCAATGGTGTAGAGTAAATTAGTTACAAAAGCTATTTAGTTTTCGTCGCCAAATCTAGTATACCAATAAGTACTAAATACCTACCCGACTATTTTGTCTTGCGTAGAGATTACCAATCCTCTTGATTTCTTGGTCCATGATTATACCAAGGGCGCGAAATGCTAAATTATAAACTTTGTTCCCCACGTTGACTACAGGTACAGCAAAACTCATACATAATACATCACTAGAACTCAATTTGCAGCAGGTCGCTCAATTTGAATATTGTAGGATAGGCGAACTTTAAAGAGAAAGTTCTTGAAGTTGTTTCATTTGGTAGATTGTTTGGTTCATTGAGTTCTCCATTACGAGTTTTAACATATTCACTTCTTGTGCCGTCGTAACGCTGCTAAATCTCGCTTGGATTCTAATCGACTTTTTAAGGATCTCAGTAATTTTTTAATAAAGGACAACAATAAATTAACTAACAATAAAATTGTTTATTTATCTTAACATCAATAAATAAATAAGCTACTTTACACAGAGTATTGGATGGAAAAAATATAACCTAACCTCCGGTTAGAAAACCGACCTCAAAAGTCATTCATCTCCTACTTTGCCACCCTTAGAGGTGGAATATTTTCTTGAAATTTAAATGGAACCACATCTGGGGTACCTACTTTCCAACAAAAAAAGAATCATCAAAATTAGTTCACAAATGACAGAGCTACCGCGTAACATACATACAGACAAATTGAGAACCTCCTCCTTTTTTAAAGTCGGTTAAAAATGGATTGAAAAGAGATCAAACAAGAAAGTTTTGGAAAGAGTTGGGGAAGAGAGAAGTCTTTTAAATGCGGAAAAAGGAGGAAAATATTTCCAAATATTGGACATTTGTTACATAATGACGCAATTGTGAGAGTAATAATAATAATATATATCTTTATTGTTTCTCTCACAAAGTCTTAGTATAAATACAAAAACAGTGTTAGTTATCTAAATAGTACAATATTTAATTCTGTGTGAGAGACTGGCATCCGTACTAGGAGACCTGTATTACAGATCACCAGCCCTTTCACACTCCGGACCAAAAGCAAGTACAGCTTACTTATACTTAGATGATGACTTTATTAATAGACTTAAGGCGCGAGGGTGTGTGGATAAATGAGTGTGTGGTGAGGAGGTGAGGAGGCTACAGCGACAAGTGTCTGCCTTTTAAATAGGATGATGATGACACAGAGTTTAGTAACAGACAATAGTGCTGTGAGATAAAAGGGTCTGTGACTCAGCACAATGGCGGTGTATTCCTCATCGCCGCTGATATTTTACTACAGCCTGACTTGTTCAAAAACAAAAAAACTAAGACACATATGATAACAATAACGGACACACTCATAGCCCCGCACTAGGGAAACCCTGTATCGCGGGTGCCATGGAGACACACATAGACAACCACAAATTACACCTAAAGTCACAAGAGAAATACATGTCGATCACACAAATATTTCTCCCGGCCCGGGAATCGAACCTGAGACCTCTGCGTGGGAGTCCAGCATGGTGGAAGTTAATATCATTCGGATTTTCAAAATTCTAGCAGATTTTATGTTTATTATGTTGTACCTTACTAACTATGG